AGGGAAAGAAATCAAAGTACGCAGTCCTCTAGAGAATTTTTCTAATACTTCAGGCTCAAACCCTGCAGCAAGATTAAGAAGTTATATTACCCTATGCTTTCTAAAATAAAAAAGGTCATGTCTTTGACTTGAAATCAGTGTGACCTGTGGCCAAAATGAAGAGGGGAAGAAAAGCCACTAGAATTCTGTCAGGAGCTGTTCTGTACCTGGCACTTTCATGGTGCTTTCTCAGCGGCAGTGCACACAATGCTCACACTCTTTGTGTGAATTGGGTGGTAGAGTCTCATTTTTATGGAGTAGAAAATTGAGTTTCAGTTACATGACTCATTGGAAGGGCCAGAAAAGCAGTGTCACTGCTCTCTCCAAAGTCTCACTGATTGCCACTACCCTCTCCTGTTTGAGGAGATTCTAGCTTGCTGGGAAGGCTAGGGATGGATCACGGCATCACATCCTTCTCTCTCTCTCTCCCTCAATCTCTCTCTCATGAAGTAAGTAAACGCTTTAAAAAATAAGAAGCGTGTATTCATATAGGTTATGCCTACTTAAAATGTGTAGGTTGGGCCAGCAGACGTCAGGGTGGTACATTGCTGACTGTGCAGTTTGAGTCCAGGGCCCAGCCGCTTGTAAATCATGCTCGGCATGTGTGCATGCATGCTCAACATCCCAAGAGGAGAATAGAGGAGACGGGACTACAGCGTGGTCATCTCTTTTGGGTCTGCTTTCTCACTTTCCCTCTCTCCAACTATCTCTCTGTCAAGTGCCTGTGCCCTATAGCAAAAACTAAAAAAAAAAGGTATAGGTTGTTAAAATATCTTTTTCAGAGAAGTGGGGACTAATTAGAACAGGTAATGAGAAGGCAGGACCCAGAGAAGATGCATGGTGACTGAGGCTACTGAAGATAAAAACTTAAAAAAAAAAAAAAAAAAGAAAAGAAAATGCACACAAATTAAGGGTACTTCTGGTATTCTAAAGATCAAAAAGATATCCAAACAGGTGAATGCAACTCGTAATATCTTGGAAGTTTAGACACTATCAAAGGGGCATTATCATCACACTTAAATCCTGGGTCAAGCAATCATTGATTGTTTCGACTGACTGGGAGAAGACTGAGATAGGGCATTGTTTAGTTCTTTGTCTTTCTTCAGCGGGAGAGTGAAGATGAAATTATTCAGAAGATTTATTGGTTTAATTAATTGATTTGTATTTGCTAAGTCAGTTAATTACTTTCTCTTTAGTTTAAAATAATACATATGTATATACTGATTGATATATTTCACACACACACACACACACACACACACACACATACATACACACACACACACACACACACACACACACACATAAAAAAACAAACACCACCAGCAGTTAGTG